AATCATTATGCCACACTCAGGGTCCGTCCTGGTGTGGGGCTCTGGGTTACTGAATAGGCCACACCCCCAAGGCATGAGCCTGTGTTCTCTGTGCCCTGCTATGCGATGTGTTAGAGATATCAAAACAGACCTGAGCATATTGAGAAGCAACTCTGGCTCAGGGGACCAGGTGATGTCACCCAGTCTCGTCTTGGGCAAATCGCTTCATTATTTCAGCAGACTGGGTGGGTCTCCATTGTCCTGTGTGTAAAGTGGACATGTAGTAGTACCTCTCCCTTGGGGGTTTCAGGAGGATCAAGTGAAGTAATAGATAGAAACCACACAGAGCTGGGCATGGTGGCAATGCCTGACTTCCCAGCGCTCTGGGAGGTTGAAGCAGGAAGATTGCAAGCTAGAGCCCAGTCTGACTTAGGACAATCCTATTTGAAAAGTAAGAAATTAAAAAAAAAAAAAAAAGAGTTGGGGATGTAGTTTCATGTAATGCCCTCTGTTCAATTCCTAGTACCAAACAACAAATGCAAAATGAAACAAAACAAGCCCCCAAACCACATACACAAATTCTCTATGTGTCTGTCTGTCTCTCTCCTTGTCTCTGTCTCTCTTTCTCTCTGTCTCTCTCTCTGCCCCCCCCCTCTCTGTCTGTCTGTCTGTCTGTCTGTCTGTCTCTGCCTGGTGCACATACCTGTCACCCTGCAAGTGTTGTCTACCCCTGGAAGACTCAGGAGCGATTTCTGAAACCCCTGTCTGCACACAACTGCTATGAAATTCAGGTCTACAGCACTGTAGTGAACTTGATGGGTGTCACTCATAGGTGACTTTTTGTACCCCTTTACTACCGTATGTCTCCCCAGCTATAACCACTGGGCTCAGGGGTTCTGGGGACATGGGGGGGGGGGCTTTATCACCTGGCTTCTGCCCTTTGTTGGACTCCTCTGTGCTTGTTTGGGAGAAATCAGACATTCATTGTAATTACATACACATGAAAACATAAGTGCTGTTGTCACCGAGAGTTATCAGGATGATCCAACTAAATTAAACACTGGTGGAGGGAGAGGTTTTTCACTGAGATCCTTGGCTGGCCCAGGCATGGCAACTGTCTGATGAAGATAAGCGAATTTGGCGGTCCCTGCTGGTGTCAGGCATGCGGAGCATCATGTGTGAGTCCGTCTCTCCAGGCGTTGTGCTGAGCTAATTGCTTTGGACGTGAGAACTTTTCCTGGGCAGCAGCATATGCTGCCAGAGTTGCCTAAAGCAAAGATAAAGAGACACCCTCCTCTTCCTTTACCAAGGCCTACTCATAAAATGCAACTGTCACCTTTTCCAATAGTTTGTTTTAATCTAAATAAATAATGAAAAGTGGCCACCTTCTGGTCCCCAGTTGTTGCCCTGCTCCTGGGTCAGCAATCTTGAACCTTCTGTTCTGTCCTTGGGCATTTAAGGACAGTCAGGGGCTCAGGTCAGGGAAATCAGCTATATTCTATCCACTTATATCACTGGGCCCTGGAAGGGAAAAATAAATTATTTTCTCAGGTGTATTAGATTATAAATTTGGCATAGAAGATGTTTGAAATATAAAGCTTTTGAGGATTTGTGTTAAGTTTTTAAATATGGAAGACAGCTCCTCCCTCCCTTCCTCCCTCCCTTACCCCTCCTCCCTCCCTTCCTTATTTTCTTCTTTATACATTTCTCTTTTTTTGTGGCATCGGGGATTGAACTCTGGACCTTGTGCTTGCCAAGCAGACGCTTATGCTGCTAAGGTACATCCCCAGCCCTGCAATTTTTTAATTAACTTGGAGATATACTTAGATGTCCCAACCACATGCATATGTAAGAAGGTCTGATATGACCTGGGTTTAAAAAAAAAAAACAAAAACCCAGCTAGAGAGCATGCCAGTAGAACAGTGACACTTAAGGGAGGTATCTAGTGGTGTTGCTTTTGGCAACCATCTACAGAGTCTAGTATCATTCAGTTCATTTCTGCATCAGAAAATCATCAGCACAGGTATGTCCTAGGGCTCTAAATGTCTCCTGCAGCCAGCTTGGGGGTAGCCACCCTTTTCTGGATGACTTCTCAGTTTGCCTTTGCCTGTCTTTCCTGGTCTGCTGTGTGGGGTAGAGCACAGTCTTTTCTTCAGTACCTGTGGCATCCTCATAGCCTTGCATTTTCTCTTGTACCCCAATTCCCTCATGCGACTTACTTTTCCTGCCCAGGAACCCTGCGCATTTGTGAAGAGGGAAGTGAAAGCACGTGGAGAAGAGCCTTGTCTTGCTCTGGCTCACAGCTGGGAATGGGGGTGAAGTGTTGCCAGCTGCTCTGGGCCCCCCACATGTTCTCACTGTCCCACCCCCACTCAGGGACCTCTCATTAGCATCCCATGGGTAAACTGAGGCATGTGAGCTAAAGCTCTTGCCACGGGATGTCAGCTGGTACATGGTGTAGGTCAGACTAGAACTCTTACCTCTGGCCTCCTCCTTCAGTTTTGTTTCCCTTCAGAATTCATGGAGTCTACACACCAGGGGCTCATCTATGATGATAATGTGTCAATAAACACACTGTAGAATCCTGTCTGAATCTCACAGCAGCTACACCTGGTGGCAGAGAAAAGCAGTCTGTAATGAGGAGGAGCTGTACTCGTCCCTTTTCTGCATTGCTAGGACACCATGCCTGTCACCCCCAATGGAGAGGAGGGGAGGTTTAATTTGGCTTCTGGTTCACATATTCAGTACATGGTAAACTGGCACCAAGGCAGAAGCATGGGAGAAGGATGCAGCTGAGGAAAGGCGTTTGCTGCGTGGCACCTGGCTGTGCTGGTGGGAAAAAGCTCAGGGGCAGTGCCTGGGATCCAAGGCACAGAATTCCAGATTGGACTAACCTGGCAAGTACACCTGTTCCTTGAGATTGTGGAGAGGAGGACTGGTCCCTTGTAAATTTTGGGGTGCTCAGAGAGCAGAAAAATCAAAAGAGGAGGAATACTGGTACACAGGCTAAAATCAGGTACGTCCACTTTGTTCAGGCCTTAGGCTTTCTTCTATTTTTTAAAATGTATTTAGTACAGGGTCTATAGAGTCTCACTACATAGATTGGACTCATAGTGATTCTCCTGTTTTCAGCCTCCCAAGCACTAGGATTACAGGCCCGTGCCGCCACACCCAGTCTCAATCACCTCAGCGTGCTCTAGGGTTGGGGCTGGCCTGGCACGTCAGGGATCAAACCCCAGCCGCTGTGCTCCTCCTAAGCAGGCACTTTAGTTCGCTGAGCTATCTGGCTGGCCCTGTAGGCTTTCTTCTAACTCACCATTATTGCCTGGCAGTCTTGGGAGAACCAACTAGTTTAACACTGTGTCTTTGGTCTGTGCTGGTCACTAGAACATTCTACAGTGAGGGAGATGTTCTCCCATCTGCTTTGTTCTGTTCAGTAGCCACTAGCCACATGTGGCTAATAAACAATTGAAATACAGATAGTGCTTCTGAGGAACAAAATTTCAGTATTCATTAATTGTAATGAACTGGCTGTAATAAATGGCTCTCATGGTGGCTCATAGCTGTCAAACTGAACAGAGCAGCTCCTCATGGAAGTCTCGGGAGGAGGAAATGGTTCCCTGGGAGGCAAGACCTGGCTCTGCATAGAAGAGTTAGGCTGGAGCTAAGTATAGCTTGAGTAACCAGGCTGTTGATTTGGGTGGGGCTCTGCATGATGAGGGCATTTGGGCACGGAGAAGAGCGGAAAGAGAAACGGGGAGAATCCAGCATCTGTTTTAGAAGCCTGAAACTGGAGGAAATATTTTTTTGCCTGGTGTATGGACTAGATTTGTACTAAGAAGGAATGAAATCAACTGACCTTGCTGTAAGAGGGAGTTGAGAAGAACTCCATGCCATGCTGTCCCTTCTGATGTCCTTTTCTTCCCACACATGGAAGAAAAATTCAGTGGAATTGCAGCACTGTTAAAAATAAAATAAAATGCTATCCTGTGTTCACCAGTGTGGCTGAGCTCCATTAGGCATGGTTCATGGAAGTGCTATCTAGTGACTAGAATCCACTTGGAAAGGCAGAGCCAGGCCAGAGCGATTTGGCCCTGGGGCCAGTGGAAGGACAGCCTTTGCAAGTCAGGCGATGGGTGCTTTATCAGGTACCTTGCCCTGTGTGGGGTTTGCAGTTCTTTCTTTAATGCCCTTTGTGCACCATCTGAGCCTGGGCTTATCACCCATATAGCCAGAGGGATTCAGGGCTAATCCAAGGAAGCTGCTTCACCTGTCTGTCCTGGACCCTCTTGTAGATTTCTGCCTGTGTCTCCCTTGCTGTAACTAGTCTTCAAGTTGTGATCTGTTCTTCGTCTTTGCTCTTTAGAGATATCTATCAAATAGCTTTTGTGTGCAGCAGCTGCGTAACAGACCGGAACACAGAGTGATGCCCAGTCTTACGGAGCGTCACAGTGTTGAGCGGGGGCAGCTTCATGAGACAGTTGCACATGCGGAGCACGAAGGGCAAAGTGGATCTGGGCATGGGTCACAGTAGAAGCACTGTAGGAAGCGAGCATTCTGGGAGTGCTCTTGGGGGGAGGGTGGTGTCCATTCTGAGTCTCTGGAAGTAGGTGGGAGACAAGGTGGTGGGGAGCCACAGGATGGTTTGAGAGTGAATTCTTTGTGGAAGAGGGGCAGGTGGAGAGCTGTGAAAACGGTCATGACTGAGAGAGCAGAGGTGGAGGAGGGGAGAAAGTCCAGGAGATGAAACTGGAGAGGGAAACAGGAATTTTAGATAGCTAAGTACTTTTTAAATATATCCAATTCATCTCTTAAACCATTATTAAAGCTAAACCTTGAAAATGAAAAGCCAATTTTATATTGAATGAGATCTCAGTGTTTTGAATGTAGGAGGAAAAACTAACCTCTGGCCATTTGTCCCTGAGTATCACGGGTCTTGCTGAAGCAGGTGCTTGTGTGTTTGTGGCTGGCCTTTCATGCGACAGGATGGACATTAATGGATTTCTGCCTTGTTGTTTCAGCACTTCAGGGAGCATCTGGACAAACTTTTTGCCAAAGGAATCGGAATGCTGGATATAGCTCTGAACGAGGCCTTCAGCATTCTCAGCGATGTAAGCTCCTCTTTGATTTGCCTTTCTTTTTCCCAGGAGAGTAGATGGGAATTTTAGAAGAAGTGTGGATCAGTATTATTGTCAGCCCTGGGGTGGTCTGAGAGCAAAGAGACACAGAACACAGGGGCACCCACGACAGGCATTGTTGAGCAGAAGCTGGAGGAGCAGGTGGAGGTCTCCAGTCTGGTTTGCAGCCAGCCAGCCCTGGAGGGCAGGCTGTGGTCTGTGCATAGGAGACATGGGGTCTGCTGGGGCTCGCTCTCTGCACACAGTGTGGCTTGTGTTTGTCGGGTAGTTACACCCGACTCCCAAAACTCGGGTTTTCCTGCTCAGCTTCTCAGACCTCTCAAGCCAAGGGTGATCTCTAATATCTAGAGTAGTTTTTAAATCAGTAACATATATTGGCACAAACAAGACTGTGCTGGACTTGTTCCTAAGCTGGGGTCTTGGCTGCAGAGGAAAATGGGAAAGGAAGGAAGGAAGTTGCCGAGGCTGCCTCCTCCATATAGACCCAGGATGCTCTCTCACGCTTCCCTGGAAGGGACTTCTGGCCACAGGTGATCAGCACAACGAGAAGAGGCTGCGTTTTAGACAGGACATCCAGGTTAATGGCCGGGAAAGAAGGCTAGGCTGCTCTTTAACTTGTGGATTGAAAGGAGGGCCGTTGGCTACTTTATGAGCACTTTGAGCTTTGAATCTCAGCAGACTTTTCTAAGTGATAATGTCAAAAGGACTTACTGAATTAGGAAATACGCTTTTCTTTGTTCTAGATATTGGACCCACGATATTTACTGTGAGCTACATCTGTAGCCATATTTATCCTGAAACAGTTTCATTAAATCACTAATTTGCCCAAGGTGGACTTGAAATTATAATCCTCCCGCCTCAGTCTTCTTCAGTGCTGGGATTACAGATGTGTACCACCATGCCTAGCAGTACTCTTTTTTTTTAAACTTGGAAAACTAGTGGCCTGAGCAAAGGGAGTCCACTTGGAGCTTAAGTGTCTCTGTCCTGTAGTAAGTCTTCGTTTTTCTTCTTTGTGGTCCTAATTCTGGAGGACTGAGAGGTAGAATATTGTCTTGCTGAAGATTGTTGCTGACTTCTGGAGTTTGGCTGGTTGTGCTGAGAGGCTGACCTTCCACTGCTTGCTTTGTGACCTTGAGAAATATGAATTTCAGTTTCACTTTTATTTTCTCTCTCTGTAGAGGGGGAGAGGAACAGACCAGCACCGGCTGCAGGAACTGTGAGACCCAGTGCAAAACGAAGGGCCCTTTGTTTCCAAGCTATTAAGAATTTTAAAAGTAGGACTGTAGAATGTTTTAAGTGGAGCTTTTTGGGGTGGGCCTAAAGCAGTTGTATGCATCCAACGCAGTCTTGGGGCACTGTTTCATGAGGAACTCAAAATGAAGTGATGAAATGGTGTCTTCTCCTTTTAGCAATATTGGGGTTGAGCTAGGAAGTGCCATCCCTGTAACCTTTGAGACACTAGGTAGCCTTGACTGGTCTGATCTCCACACAGCTCTGCTTGAAGGCTCCGGTTCTATTCCCAGCACACACCTTCAGGAATATCTTTCCCCTCAGCTTTTCCTTGCCCTAGGACCTCTCTTCTGCCCGTTCCTCCCACTCATCAGTTTTGCTCTTCAACATTCTTGAGCCAGTGACATGGCCCTGTGAATACTGGTCTGCCAAGGTCTCCAGAATAGGATTGGTGAGCGTGGTGGGGGAAACACTTCTTTCTCATTAAAACTCAAAGTGCACCCGCACATACTGAAGGCTTTCAGAATTACAGGAGTGAAGAAATCCTTTAACAGTCTCCTTCTACCAGGGCTAAAGATTACTGGTTTAGAAACATTTTTCATTGTGTCAGCCACTCAGCATTAACATCTTGTAAAGTCGCAGCTCACCAAGCACAGTTTTGACGGTATCATTGTATCCTCCCAAATATCTTTTCACACTGCTGCAAAGATTACTGAGATCCAGAGAAAATGGCAACATGAGTGGACTTTTCTTGAATCCTGCAAGGAAAGTATTTTTGGACAGGAAAAATCCCTTTTGTATACCTCATTGACCTCACTTCACCTATGAAAGGCTGTGTGGGGTCTGGCCCATTAGGAACCCCAGTGGGCTGAGCATAAACCCCAGACAGCAAGCACCAGTGAGGCTTACAAAACATCCCTGTCTGAAATCAGAATCAACAAATTCTTCTGAGTGCACATTTATCCTATAGAGAGAAACATTTCCAACCCATCTCTGGTCATTGACTTTTTAAATAGCAAAATTCTTTCACAAACAGAGATGCTAACCTCCCGTGAAAATGGATCTTTATCTGTGTTCCACTTTATCAATATGACCTTTAAGTGGTATGATTCTCTTCTGGTGTGTCATGTTTGCCTCCATAAGCCAATATCAAATAAAAAAGCTATTCCTCAGACACGTACATGTGCATGCATGCACCCATACCCACATACCCACACACCTACACACACACACACACACACACACAAGATTGTGGCTGTGGCTAGAACTTAGAATGACTCCGAGGTTATCATAATCAAATAGAGTCAATGCTGTCTTAGCAGAAACAGCATTTCAGATTCAGTACTTGCTTAAACAACTTGGAGGCTTGGGGTTATTGATACCAATGTCTCTGAAAGGAGCTTTCAGATCAACTTCTAAGCCCTGTCTAGCTATTGATCTCCAGGCATTCATTAGATTCTGTAAGAACACACAGCCAGTTTGCTGCAGTAGTTAGCATCTACCTTGTCATGTGACAGCTACAATTATCTTTTTTGGCAACGAATGTGATCTTTACAGTGATTACCTTTTAAAAATTTTTCTTAGCCAATTAAATAAAATTCGGTGACATTTCAAAAGACTGTTAATCACAACCAAATGCTCTAAATGTCAGGATGCTTTGAAATTTTTGCTGCTAACTGATGAATCACTGAGCTAATTGTAGTTCATCATCAGGCCCTTGTCATTGTTATTATTATGGAAAACACTTTCATCACTCTCGCTATTCAATAAAAAAAGGTCCAGACAAATATGAAGCGAAGAGATATTACCCATCAAAGCATTTGAATTTCATTGCATTCTTCAAAATTCTCCAACTACAGATTGCAGCAGAGAATACCCTAGATCCACCCAGGGAGGAAAGTAATGTTCTTAAATAAAGAGCTCCTGGCGGCCCCTTCTTCCAGCCTGCCTTATTCATGCATCTTCATTTCCCCCTCTTTCTTTTCTTTTGTTTGGCAAAATTTTCCAGGATGTTTTCAAATGAGTTGCATGAACCACAGCCCAAGGGCAGCCTGACTTTCATTCTCTGAAGCATCTGTGACCTGAATCTCCGATCACTGTCATTCAGTGGCTTGCTGTGGGCTTGTTTCACACTCTGAAGGCTATGTGGTGTTCAGACTTTTCCAGAACAACTTGAGAACAGGCTACAAAGCTTCTTTTTCTTACTGCAGCAAGGAATGGAATGCACCCTCATGAGAGTCTTCGTGCTGTGACAGAGTGGAAGTGGCAAAGTTGGGGCACTCAGCGAGGCTGCAGATGGGGATTTCCATGTGGAAGAGAGGAAGGACCTGGATTAGGATCCATTATGACTTGCAGTGTTTCAGTCGATGCTTAATGGATGCAGGAGGGGAAGATTTGGGGCTAAGTGTGTAGAGTCTTTGTATATACACTGTTCTTTTTACTTTCTGCTAAAGAGCAGAGAGCTTTTTCAGGGTGTCTCTGGAGCAAGAAATAAAACTATTTGTGACTTTTATCTCCCTGGACAAGAATTTTCTGTAATCATGAGTAATGATGGTAGTGACAATAGCAGTCATACTTGGACAGCTCTGATGGGTGCTGGCTGTGGCTTCCTGTCTGCTAAAGCAGTAGGATCACAGGCCGTTTGTCTTACCAACTCAAAAGCACGTAAGAGGTCTGAATTGTAAGAGTGGCTGCCAGTGGCATGTACCTGGGACACAGAATTTAAAGAACACTCACTCCCAGGGACATAGGTGAGGATGGAGGGAGAGAGATGCAAATGAAGGAAATGAACACTTGTGAAGTACTAATAGCAATGTGTCACTGTATTCATTTAACTTTCATGACTTGTGATGAAGTGGCTGAGATAGGTTCACTGTACAATGAAAAGAGCTTTACATAGCTCAGAGCTTTGGAGGCTAAAAGGGCAAGATCAAGTAGCCTGCCTGAGCAGTTTGGCCTCTCCTAAGGTTGATAATGACATCACAGCAGGAGTTTGTGCAAGAGCAAGAGAGAACACTTACCTTGAAACAGCCGGAGACTACGCGTCATGCTCCCTCTTACTGCTTGTTCTCTCCAGAACCTCTCTATCTTCTTCTGAGGGTCACACCTGCAGGGACCTAAGAGCCCAAGAACCTCCCACCTGGCACCCTCTTAGGGCTTTGCCACTTCAGCCTCCCACACAGCAAGCCTTGGGGATATACTCAAATGATATTCAAACCATAGTAGTCACTGCCTGCTCAGGGACAGTCATGTCCTTACTAAAAGCTATAGAACTAGTTGAGTAGATACTAGGGGTCTTTTGCTGATATTCAGATACCAGATGTGTCATATAGTAGCTGTGTGACCTTACGCAGATTAGCTAAGCTCTCTCTTCCTCAGCCTTCCTACCTAGAAAATGGGGATGAGGATTATAGCTACCTCAGAGTCTAGTACGGATTAAGTAAGTTTTGCTTGTTGCTCAGAAGACTAGAAACATTTAACCTGAGTGTTAACAGTTATTTAAGGATTTTTTTCACCATATAAATGGAGAAGTAAATGTTCAAGAAGAACTGACCCCAGCCACATAGCCATGGTGCTGGGATAGAACAGATTGAGAGCTTTCCACATCATCCCATGCAAGTTTTGAGTTGGTTTTTCCTCTGTCCTCATATGGTTGCAAGGTGATTCCGTGTATCCGTCCGTCCATCCATCCATCCATCCATCCAGTTATTTTATACAAACTACACCAGACTTCTAGGTGCACGACTAGTGGGCATTGACAACTCGAATGTGTTAGCTGGGCATGGTGTTGCACAACTGCAGTGCCATCATTCAGGAGGCTGAGGCAGGAGGGTGCCATAGGTTCAAGGCCAACCTGGGCTACACAGTGAGTTGAAGGCCAGCTGATCTACAAAGTAAGATCCTATCTCTAAAAACAAAACAACAAGAAAAGCTTCAATGCTGTGCTTATTCTCTGGCTTCGTTGTGGTCATCCAGCAAGTCCAAAAATAGCTTCCATCCTTCCTAAATGTCATAGACAGAGATTGAACGTGTCAAAGATGCTTTCACTCAGTGTTTCCACACCTAAGTGTTTGACCTCTCAGAACTGCCCTTCCCTCATGTCCTACTCCTCATCAGGAATTGTTCAGATATTATATGCCCAGTAATGTCTTCCCTGAATACATTTTTAAAAAAGATGCCACCATGCCAGTCTCAACTGCCATCTCAGTGTGCCCCAGGGGTGGGGCTGGCATGGCAGGCCTGGGGATCAAACCCCTGGCCCATGTGCATGCTTGTTGGTGCTTTAATCCACTGAGCTATTTGGCTGGCCCTTCCCTCCCCATTTATGATCTGATTTCTCTTTCCTCTCTTTGCCCCCTTAACATCGTCATTCTTAAACATATAATGTAGTTTATTTACCTTGATTCCGTGTCTTTCCAAAAGAGCACAAAGGTACAGGGAGGAAAGACATTTCAGTGATTCATCATCAGCACTATGTAGGCACTTAGCAAATAATTTTAGAATAAACTTTGAAGATTATAATGGAGGGAATATTCACTACTAAATGCTACGTACTTTGTATATATTTCCTGTGCCTCCACATTCAGCCAACTGTAGGAGTTTTAAAGGCCACTGCGCTACGTTGAATTGCATCATTAATAGCATTCATTAAAGGAGTTTTTCATCTCAGATTCAAGGGAAAGTCTCTGGCAACTATATTTGGTCATTTTAGATACTACTCATAAAGGTTGGGATTTTTAACAACATGAAGTTGCAAGATGAAGAAGTTTAAAGATTTGCACACCGAGTACAGTTTAGGAACTTCAGCATGACACGCCTACTACCAATAAACTCCTATGAAATATGACATTCAGATAATATGCATTTAAGTTACATGCTTAAAAGGAGAGCTAAAGTGTCTGAATTGTATACTCCTGAATTTATTCTCTATTTGTTCAAAACTTCCCTAGTTTCATTGTATAGTGCATTCTATACTCATCAGACCTACACAGAACAGACCCGCTTGGATGTTGAAACAACTGGTGCCTTTCACGTACCCTACTTCCCATGTTGTGAACTCTAAGATTCTTGTGGCAATGTTTTTGGCCTTGTTAGCGCAAATATCGTCCATACTTCAAGGTAACTTGCACAGATCTGCAATTAGTTCTCATTAGCCAAAGCAGATATAGTAGCCCGTGCAGAAACCCTACCCTATGGGGCATGTGCAGTGACCTGCTGCTTGGAGAGGCTTCCCAAGCCCGGTACCTAATGCCCCTGATGTCTTAAGGGTGTGCACGCAGAACTCTCTGACATGCAATGTCTCGAATGTTTGCTTTCTGCAGTTCAACCACACGGGACAAGGAAGCATCTGCAGTCAGGCCCTCATGCTCATAACTGATGGGGCGGTGGACACCTACGACGCCATCTTTGCAAAACACAATTGGCCTGACCGGAAGGTAAGTAAGTTGGCACTGGTACCATATGCACAGTGGAGACTATCGTGACCTCCAGATTGTCCGCAGATAAGTGTCCAATGTAGACTTAATCTCATAATGACCTGTGGTTTCTCAGCCTTGTGTGTTTTGGTTGACCAAAATCAAATACTGTGGCTTTCTTTGCTTTCGAAATGATTTTTTTTTTTTTTTTTTTTTTTTTTTTTTTTTTTGTATCGAGGAGGAGAGAAGAAAACCATAGAGACTTGTTAAATACATTCTGTGGAAAGCATTATTATAAAATATACTCTTTCAATATCAGGTAGCACTTCACTTTGTTTTCATTTTTCCTTGGAGTAAAGTTGCTTGCTGGAGCCAGAATCTGAAGAATGGTGAAGTGGGGCTGGCGAGATATTTCAGCAGACTGAAGTGCCTGCTTAGGCAAGCTTAGGCAACTGCGCAGGGACCATGGTTCCATCCCCAGCACCACATGCTGCGCCATCCCCACCCCCAGGGTGTGCTGGGCAGGCCACTAGATAGATAAATAAATAAATAAATAAATAAATAAATAAAATGAAATGAAGAATAGTAATGTCAGCTGTGGGAGGGCCTTTCTTTTGTGAACCATGGGTCTGTGCTTCTTCCCTGAACCCTGTTCCTACACAGAGGTTTCTCTCATCTCTCAGGGCTATTTCCCAATGTGCCACCGGTAGCTATCGCTACTTGAGACAGTTCATCCAAGCCTGCCCCGCTGTATCTATTTTGTGTATTCAATTTATAGGAATTGAGCGAACCATATAAGCTTATCAAAAAGAAACAGGACACAGATGACAACTGTGCCCTCAGCCGTATCCGGCAAGCACTTACCCTATGCTAACATAGGATGGAATGTGTCATTCTCTCTCCCTGTTGTCATTGTTGATCAGTCTGATAACACAGGCTCGAACCCCACCATGTGAGTCTGGTGATTCAAGCTACGTACATCCATACAACACAGCTCACAAATGGATATCATTTCCTTCCCCTGGTATTTAGCCTTGGAAACACCTGTTGCCTCTGAAACTGGAGGGGGAAATGTGCTTGCTGCTCTTACTAAGAGTAAGTGTACATCTGACATAGCACCTACCCAAATGATATGCAGGAGTAAATGTGTCCCACCATAAGCACCGAGTTAGGAACTCAACCCTTGAATAAGATAGAGTTCATTCTTGGGCAAGGTGATTTTGAGTATTAATCATGTTTTGGGTGATGACTTTCAGGGACAGGTACAGGTCAGTTCTTGGTAGATCAGTGTGTGGTGAAGGGATGCTGACCATCTCTCTTCGTTACTTTGTCATTGCTGGAACAAAACACCTGACACTCACAAGTCAAAGGACGAAAACTTGTTTGTAGAGGTTGCAGCCCGTAGTCCACTGGCTTCAAGGCAGATCAGCATGGCGGAGGAGCAACATTCCATAGTGTGACAGGAAACAGGCAGCAGTCAGCCTTCCTTTCCCTTTTTATTCCATTCAAGCTATAAGCCTATTGGTTGATGCTACTCACACTGAGAATGGGCCTCCTTCCTCTTTATCCACCCCAGCTTCACCCATGCTGAATCAGTCAGTAGACTAATCTAATTATCTCACACCCATAATCCATTATTTTGCACCAGTTATCCAGCCACACCCACCTATGAGCACATAAGGCTTTGGGGAGACATCTAGACATAAGCATCACAGAGGCCAGCACTTTCTGGAACAATGAGTAACTGAGAAACAGCTGTCCTCCTAGATAGGCAATGACTGTTTTATGTGGCTTGGTCCTCATTACTTCCATCATTTCCTCTCAGCTCACATGACTCAAATGCTTTACTTGCCCATAGGCAGAGGCCCTAACCACTGCTCTGTATTAACAGGCACTCCCTGTTTCCTAGGAAGGACCTGTATTTCCCAGAAATGAGACTTGTTCCCTTTTCTTAGGTTTGCCTGAAGCTTCTCCTTTTCTTCTCCATCTAGAGGGATGATAACCTTACCTAAGCCTGAAATTCCACATTCACTAGGAATTTTCTCAAAAGAGATAGAGCTCCTTTTCTAATACTGTCATATGACCTGCCTGTCATTTTTATTTGGTAAGTCTGTCCGACTTCTAGACAGCCCTCCATCTTGTTCCATATCTGAGTCCTGCAGAGAAGTTGGGGTGCAGAGCCTAGAGTGGCCTTGTGACTTCTGCCTCCTAGAGTTTTATGTCCCTTGCAATTGCTTCTGTTTAAGTGTGAACAGGATCTTTGATTTGCTTCTGAGCAATTGAACATTATAAAAGGGGAGGGATTTTAGTTCCAAGTCAGTTGAATTTTGAGCTAGTCAAAAGAGATATTATCCTGAGTAGGCTTTATTCAGTTAAAATCTCTTGAAAGGGCTGGGCCCTCCCTCAGGACAGAGTCTCCCCTTGCTGGTGTGATGCAGTGAGCATTTGTTTGGAGAAGCCCAAGTGGCCAAGAATTATAGGCAGCCAGTAGGACCCAAGTGTGGTCTCCAGCCACCAGCCTAAAGTCTCATCCCTTGGTCTTATAGCCACAGGGAGTGAATTCCTACAGTCATCTGCGTGAGCGTCCAAGGGGATTCCTCCCCAGACTAACCTCTAGATGAAATAGCCCAGCCAGCTTCTTGACTGCAGCCTTATAAAACCACAAACAGATGAGCCAGTTAGACTGAGCTCTGACTCCTGACCCATGGAAACTGAGATAATGAACATACATTGTTTTGAAGCCCTGTGTTTTGGATACATTCTGCAGCAAAAGAAAACTATTGGAGGTATGAGAGGAAAGGAAAAGAAATTACTTGTCATGCATTGCTATAAACCCTTCTCAACTCTATCAGCTTAAAAAGCTTTTTATTATTTCTTGTGATTCCTCAGGCTGACTGCGTGGTGGGTCTTCTTTCTGGTGTCACTAACAAAGCTGTGTTCAGCTGGCAGATTGGCAGGGCCATCTCACGTCTCTCTCCACACAGGTGTCCAATTCTTCAGCACCACACTCTGTCCATCCCTGTTTTAGAAGCCTGCACTTCCTCTTGGAGCTATATGGGCTCTAAGAAAGGGAAAGGAGAAAGAAGTAGGGGGACAGGGCAGAAAAGTGTTTAGAGTATCATTTATAAAAGATATTTAGGAGGCTGGGTGGATAGCTCACCAGTCTAAGTGCCTGCCTGGGAAGCTCAAAGACCTGGGTTCGATCCCTGGCACCACATGCCATGCTGGCCCCAGAACCCTGGGCATGCCATGCTGGCCCTGAAACTGGGCGTGGTGGAGCATGCCTTTAATCCAGGTGCTGGGGAGGCTGAGCCAGGAGGATCATTAAGAGTCGAAGCTGTGTAGTAAGACCCTGTACCAAATACATAAATAAATAAAAGATTTTTTTAAAAATAAAATAAAAATATATTTAGTACCTTACCAAGGCTTGGCTCAAGGTAACTGCTTCCCTAAAACGTTATAGGCCAAGCTGGAGGAGGAGGGCATTGTTGGTGGCTGAACTGTGAGACTCTGAAGGAGGCACCACAGTTGCCTCTGCGGTGGCTCCCTGGCCAGCATTCATTTCTCAGCACGAGAGTGAGCAGCCTTTTACTCCTTTATGGCCTGCCGTTTCCTTTTGCTTACTATCCATGGGTTAGTGGCTTAACTATAGTTCTTACACATTTGGAATAAAATACGAACTCCTCCTGGTGCAAAGTGCTCGTTCCTCCCCTGGCTAACAACTAGAGCTGCCTATATGTAAATTAGGAAAATGCCACTTCCTGCCATTGTATAGTTGCTCTTCTAACTTAAAAAGCAATAGAGTTGTTGATCTTCGCCTGTAACCCTGCGATGTGCACCAGATAGGGCCACACTGACCTCACAGCCAGAGCCGTGATGAGCTGGGTGGGTGCAGGAAGGGGCTGGCTGACAGGGCCACGACAGCATGTGGCCCATTGCCTGCTTGTGGAGCCCATGAACCGCGAGCACATTTGTGTGCTTTGAAATGTGAAAAAAAAAAAAAAAAAAAAGACTATTTCATGACACAAGAAAATGAGAAAAGAAGGAGAAAATAAAAACTGAGCTTTATCAACAGGGAGGAAATCTGGGGTTTAAAAAGAGGGATTGAAGGGCTGGCCAGATAGCCCAGCAGATTAAACTGTCTGCTTAGGCAGATGCAGGGACTGGGGTTCAATCCCTGGTGTGCCTTGCCGGCCCCGCCCCTAGGACACACTGAGACAGTGATTGAGACTGAGCGTGGTGGTGAGCGCCTGTAATCCCAGTCTGTTAAAAAGAAGACCATAGACCATAGACTGGATGACTTATTGTAAAGACCGTCATGGCCCATAGTTCTAGAGGTTGGAGGTTTGAGATCAGTGTGCTAATGTACAGGGCTCCGCTGAGGACTCCCTTCCCTCTGCGGACCGGATGGTGGACTTCTTGTATCCTTATCTGATGGAGAGAATGAGGGTGCCACTTCATCTCTGTGCCCTTATCTAATCCTAAGCATTTCCTAAGGTCCCTAACACCTACACTGTCGCCTTGTAGGCTGGAGCTGCAACAGACAGGTTTTAGAGAGCTATAAACCATCTGCAACCCTCCTGAATGCAAACAGAATGGAATCTGTGGCATTTCTGTTAAACTCCGAGGTGACACCAAACTACCTCTTAGTTGATACATTCTATTTTTTCTTTATTTTACATTTTATCAGTGAAATCTGGGCTGTAACCGTCAAATAACAGATCACACGTTGACTTGCTTCAGTGGAGGTAGCCCGGGGACACACCATCTGGGTCGGTGTCTGTACCAACGCTCCTGCATCTCCTGGACATTACTACACCCTCTGTCTTCCACACAGCTCTGTGATGAGCAGCAGAGCCAGTACTAGAGTGTTCTATTTGCTTTCCATTCTGTATAGTCCAAGTCTCTTTCAACAAGATGTTTCAGCTGATTTTTCTGCCTAAATTTATAAGACAGAGCTAGCAATTGCTGACTTTTGTAGAATGCTCAGGGTCAAGCAGTATTCTGATTGTTTCATGTGT